GACTCGCTTGAGCCCAGGAGTTGGAGGTTGCTGTGAGCTGTAATGCCACGGCACTCTACCCAGGGGGACAGCTTGAGGCTCTGTCTCAAAAAAAAAGAAATTCTGTTACATGTATATAATGTGTAGTGATCAATTCAGGATATTTAGGGTTGTCCATCTCCCAAATATATTATGTTTCTGTTTAGCTATAGTCACTGTACTCTCCTGTCAGTGAATTTTTTTTTTTTTTTTTGAGACAGAGTCTCACTGTGTCACCCTCAGTGGTGTACTGTGGCCATCACAGCTCACAGCAACCTCTAACTCTTGGGCTTAAGTGATTCTTTTGCCTCAGCCTCCCAAGTAGCTGGTACTACAGGTGCCCTTCACAACGCCCAGCTATTTTTGTTGTTGTTGTTTAGCTGGCTGGGCCAGGTTCAAACCTGCCAGCCCTGGTGTATGTAGTTGGTTGGTGTGGTGCTCTAACCACTTAGCTATGGGGTGCTGAGCCAAACAGTGAATTTTTTATTTCTATCTAACTGTATGTTTGTACCTTTTAAGTTCTCTTCATTATTTCTCTTATTCTTAGGTTAGTATCTTACTTAAATTTTTTTCTTGTAGCATGGCGGACACCGACCTGTTTATGGAATGTGAGGAGGAAGAATTGGAGCCATGGCAGAAAATCAGTGATGTCATTGAGGACTCTGTAGTTGAAGATTATAATTCAGTGGATAAAACTACTACAGGTAACAGAAGCTATTCTGATCTTAGATTGTTATTTGAATTAATGAAATCGAATGACATTTTGGTTCAGAAAGTGTGAAATGGAAAAGGACTTTAAGAATCCATCATCATGGATTCTTGGATTCATCATCGTGGCACTGGTGATACCTTCTTTTCCCATGCTTTTTGGCCTGTGAAAATCTCAGTTTCCTCATCAATAATGCTATAAACTTAATAAGAAGTTGAGTTAACCAGTGTTTATCAAATACCTACTAGTCCTCTTACCAAATGATGGATGAGTAAGAATTCAAAGTGGTGGTGTGTGGCAGTGTGTACCTAGTCAAAAATGATTCCCATAGTCTTGTTTATTATTTTTGATATTTTGGGGTTTTTTTTAACTTGATTTCCTTTGTGAGCAAAGTAGAAATTGCTTTGTGTCTGCCTTCATGAACAGTTTATAGATCTAGGCTTGTTAGCTTTTCTTTCATAAAGGTGATATTGCGAGGTCAAATTCTAGATTGCCCTGGATTCTGAAAGTGGGCGGAAGCTGTTTTTCTCCCCTAAATTGTACCAGTTGCTCCCTATTTTTATCTTCCCTGCCTTGAGACCTGAGGATAGTATTGGTTTAGGCTGAAACAGGACACAGTTCAGGGTCTTGTGAATGCATGCATACCAGTAGTGGTGATAATAAACCTTTGAGTCCTAGAAGTTTGCTAGTGCTGTATAAGCTAAATATTAAAATCCTGATTCCGTGGGCTCAGTGATGAAACTTCATTAACTAGGAGATTTGAGATACAGAAGGATTGTGTCTAAATGGTGGACTAAAGGATCAGTAGAAAGGGAAATGAGATGAACAGTTGGATTTATGAATAGAACAGGAAACTTTTTGGCTATCAAGACACACAACAAGATGGAAAGGGAAGGTTAGAGCAGTATCCTTTAGTGTCATCTGTCCCTGTCTCCCAAGTGACTGTGCCTCCCCTTCCCCACAGTTTCTGTGAGCCAACAGCCAGTCTCGGCTCCAGTGCCCATCGCTGCCCATGCTTCTGTTGCTGGGCACATTTCTACATCCACCACCGTTAGTAGCAGCGGGGCACAGAACAGCGACAGTACAAAGAAGACTCTTGTCACACTAATTGCCAACAACAATGGTAAGTGGGATTCTTGGGAAATTGTTCCTGGGCTAGAGGGGTAAGAGAATACACGAGGGCTTAGGGACAGCAATCCCTATTTAGTTAGGTACTGACATGGTTCTGTTAGTTGGATAGTGAATTGAGTAACTCTCAAATGGAAGTGATTCTATAGGTAGTGCTGTTCCTGCTAAGTTAGTGCTGAATTGATGGTGGTGTTTCAGGTCAGAGGGCACAGCAGAGTCTTGATACTGATAATTTCTAGGAGAGAAAATTAAACCCAAAATTCCTATTACAGAGATTGGGGCTTTTATGTTTGGTTTGTTGGTTGTTTTTGTTTCTTTAATTAGAGGAGCCCTTTAGTCTGGTAAGAGTTTTCCCAGGGCAGTTTTGTTCTGTATTTTCTCTGGCAGATTCATTTGGTTATAGGTTTCTGGGTGTGGGAATGGAGGATAGGACAGGGATGTTGTCCACATGAAGGAAATGCTGAAAGACTAGTGTTTTTAGTGCACTTACTGAGTATGGAGGCTATAGAGTACTGGTTTCTATTTTATTTCTGATGACTGTTTCTGTACACTGAAGATGAATTATTGGCAAGTTATGTTTCAAGATTCATGACTAAGATAGGCACTTTCTTTTTTTTTTTTTTTTTTTTTTTTG